AAAGGAACACTACACTATTTTTGAAAATAGGCTCATTTTCCAACTCCCCTAGAGTTAAACAGTTGAGTTTTACCATTTTCGAATTCATTCAGCCGATCTCCGGGTCTGGCGGTAGCACTTTTAGCTACATAAGTATACAATGTGTACATAAGTATTCACAGCCTTTGCTCATTACTTTGTTGAAGCACCTTTGGCACCAATTACAGCCTCAAGTCTTTTTGAGTATGATGCTACAAGCTTGGCACACCTATTTTTGGGCAGTTTCTCCCATTCTTCTTTGCAGGACCTCTCATGCTCCATCAGGTTGGATGGGGAGCGTCGGTGCACAACCATTTTCAGATCTCTTCAGAGATGTTCAATCGGGTTTAAATCTGGGCTCTGGTTGGGCCACTCAAGGACATTCACAAAGTTGTCCCGTAGCCACTCCTCTGTTATCTTGGCTGTGTGCTTAGGGTCGTTGTCCTGTTGGAAGATGAACCTTCGCCCCAGTCTGAGGTCCAGAGCGCTCTGGAGCAAGTATGTCTCTGTACATTGCTGCATTCATCTTTCCCTCGATCCTGACTAGTCTCCCAATTCCTGCTGCTGAAAAACATCCCCATAGCATGATGCTGCCACGACCATGCTTCACTGTAGGGAAGGTATTGGCCAGGAGTTGAGCACTGCCTGGTTTCCTCCAGACATGACACTTGCCATTCAAGCCAAAGAGTTCAGTCTTTGTTTCATCAGACCAGAGAATTTTGTTTCTCATGGTCTGGTAGTCCTTAAGGTGACATCTGGCAAACTCCAGGTGGGTTGTAATGTGCCTTTTACTGAGGAGTGGCTTCCGTCTGGCCACCCTACCATACAGGCCTGATTGATGGAGTGCTGCAGAGATGGTTGTTCTTCTGGAAAGTTCTGCTCTCTCCACAGAGAAACGCTGGAGCTCTGTCAGAGTGACCATCAGGTTCTTAGTCACCTCTCTTGATAAGGCCCTTCTCCCATGATCACTCAGTTTGGCTGGGCGGCCCGCTCTAGGAAGAGTCTTGGTGGTTCCAAACTTCTTCCATTTATGGATGATGGAGGCCACGGTGCTCATTAGGACCTTCAATGCAGCAGAAATTTTTCTGTACTCTTCCCCAGATCTGTGCCTCGATACAATCCTGTCTCAGAGGTCTACAGACAATTCCTTGGACTTCATGGCTTGGTTTGTGCTCTGACATGCACTGTTAACAGTGGGGACCTTATATAGACTGGTGTGTGCCTTTCCAAAGCATGTCCAATCAACTGAATTTACCACAGGTGGACTTCAAGCAAGTTTTAGAAAAATCTCAAGGATGATCAGTGGAAACTGTTTTTTATTTTGAATAAATTTGCAAAGATTTCAAACAAAATTCTTTCACATTGTCATTATGGGGTATTGTTAGTAGAATTTTAAGGAAAATAACGAATTTAATCCATTTTGGGATAAGGCTGTAACATAACAAAATGTGGGAACGGTGAAGTGCTGTGAATACTTTCCGGAAGCACTGTAAACATGCATTGACATCCATAACAACATTTATAATGCTATATATATAGTCAGCCTGCTGCTGTCCTTTCATCAAATACAGGTTATTTTCACTGTGTATAAAACAAAGTTCACTTCAAATGATTATGTATGTAAATTTGTACTACATTAATGACAAGATGATCTAGCTGTTGTGGGAGGGAAAAACCTAATAAATCATACTTGTCATAGCAGTAGTTCTCACCTCCACCATGTTTAAAGTTTATGACCCGCCCATCTCAGGAATTTGGGTATCAAAATTATTTCTGAACTTCCCAGTGGTAATCATGTCATCAGAGAGTGGTCATGTGCAATGTTTACCTAGGAAACTCATATTTACGGCAATTCTGATGCCATGTGAAAGCAGCATTAATATGGAACACTACTTTGATGTCCTGAATACGGGACAGTTCTGTATTACACTACTCAAAAAAAAAAATTAAGGCTACACTTAATCATCACAGTACAGCACCAAGTCAGTTAAACGTCAGGGATATAAATCTGTCCAATTAGGAAGCATAAGTGAGAGAGAGGCAACAGCAAGACAACCCCCAAAAAAGGGAATGATTTTGCAGGTGGTGGCCATAGACAGTTGTAGACAATTATTCTTCCTGACTGATTAGTCTTTAGTTTTGTGTTTGTTAGGGTCCTTGTCACTGTCTGTAGCATGATGCAGTTCCTGCAACCCAATCAGTTTGCTCAGGCAGTCCAGCTCCTCCAGGATAGCACATCCATATGTGCTGTCGCAAGGAGGTTTGGTGTGTCTCCCAGCACAGTTTCAAGAGCATGGATGAGATACCGGGAGATAGGCCGTTACACGAGGAGATCTAGACAGGGACGTAGAAGGGCAACAACCCAGCAGCAGGACCGGTATCTGCTCCTTTGTGCAAGAAGGAACAGGAGGAGCACTGCTAGAGCCCTACAAAATGATCTCCAACAGGATACTGGTGTGCATGTTTCTGACCAAACTGTAAGGAACACACTGTCAAAAACAGACTTCATGAGCCGTGGCATGAGGGCCCAACATCCTCTAGTGGGACCTGTGCTCACAGCTCAGCACCGTACAGCTTGTTTGGCATTTGCCAGAGAACACCAGAGCAGGTTCACACTGAGCACGTGACAGATGTGAAAGAGTCTGGAGATGCATTGGGAACGTTATGCTGCATGCAGCATAGTCGCACAGACCTCCACGTGCCAGCCCATGGTTCCCTTACTGCTGTTAGGTACTTCGATGAAACCCTCAGAGCCATTGTCCAGGGTTCCCACGCTTCTTGAAAGTACTTGAATTTCAGACATATGGATTCAAGGCCTGGAAAGTACTTGAAAACAGACATAAGTCCTTGAAAGTGCTTGAATTAAATTTGAAATAAAGTTTATGTCGCTATTTAAAAAATTCTCCTATATGTTCTGTCAAAGACAACGAAACGGCACTAATGATTGGGGGTGGAGATGGGGTAGGTAAAAAAACTTGTGTGTTGATGCGCAGCCTAGAGCCCTGAGCGGGACAGTTTTCTTAAGCCCGCTCCCGCTGAATTTCCACGCTTATAACACGATGACAGATGACGGAACGTATCATTTGCACGTGCTTTTGAGTCTTGAGAACTCACTCACTCGCGCGCTCTAATTTTCTGTGTGCCCACAGATCACGATAAGGAGAGTGACAACTTTGAATGGTTATTAAGAGAGTTTGCAAATGTGATATTGATTTAATACAACAGTTCAATAAACAAGTACTGCCTGATTTTGCTCTATTTCATCAACGAAAATAGTTCCAAATAAAGTAACGGCTCAGCCGCTGCGCATCTCTAAAAGCAAACAACGGTGTTTCATTCATGAATGAAAGTGCGTTTTTGAACGAATCTAGTGAGACAGTGATTCATGATTACCCATTCATAAAGACTTGTTTCATTCCTGAATGAATCAGCTGATCAAACAAATCAATTGAATGAATGATTCAGTGATCAAATCAGTGACTTGCCACCACCTGCTGGCGGTTAAATTTTTAGGTATAATTTTTTACTGCAACATGGAGCTAAGGAGAAAATGTAGAACTTGAAAAATTGGAAAAACAGCTTCGTAAAAAACGTTTACAGTTTAAAAGCAAATAGAAAGTCCTCTATTTTTTTTTTAATTTATTTTCTTTATATTTTTTTGCAGATTTGCGCATGTACAAGGTTTGACTTTTTGAGCAGCTGCATGTTTGAGCTGCATTCCTCTAGGTCAAAGATGAAAAAAATGGGGATTTACAATAAAGTCATTTACAAAATTATTTTGACTTGAGTTTATTTGTTAATGAGTAACGTCTCTTTTGAGTGAATGTGCAAATTTGTAATGTTAAGAGGTTTTACCATGTTATTACAATTAACCACTTTTTATTAATTTAAAAATTGAGAAATTCTTTCACATTTAAATTTTGTAAAAGAACTACAGCAAAAACAGTTTGATGCATATTTTATCAATATTTTAGAAATTGTATTTGAATATTACCAGTACTGACTTCAATGGATTTCATTAAATTCCTTTGAACACAACTGCTCAAAACGGTCTAAATTTATGAAACCTACACATTCAAAACATTATTACTCTGAAATTTTTAATGTAAATGTTAAGTGTAAGTGAAATGTTAAATACTGTCTGAGGTCTTTCATGACACTACATATGCTGGGGTGTGAATTTGATAGGTGCTTGATATAAAATAAATGGTGCTTTTAAAAAGTCCTTGAATCTGGTGTTCATGAAAGAGTGGGAACCCTGATTGTCAGACCATATGCTGGTGCAGTGTGCCCTGGTTTCCTCCTGGTGCATTATAATGTCCGGCCTAGTTTGGCTAGAGTGTGCAGACCGGCTTTAGATGACGAAGGCATTGATGCCATTTACTGGACTTCTCGTTCCCCAGACCTGAATCCAATTGAGAACCATTGGGATATTATCAGAGCATCCGAAGTATTATGTATCGGAGCATCCAAAGCTGCCAAGTAGCACCACAGACTCTACAGGATCTCACTGATGCCCTGATCCAGGTCTGGGAGGAGATAGGACAGGACACTATCCTCCATCTCACCAGGAGCTTGCCCAGATGTTGTGAGTGTGTATATAGGCATGTGGGGGCCATACACACTACTGACTTATATTATGAGTTGCTGCAAGTTGGATCAGCCTGTAACTTTAGTTTTTTACATTGATTTTGGTGCGATTTTGAATTCAGCCCTCAGTGTGTTGATGATTTTGGTTTCCATTAATTTGTCACATAATATTTGTTCTTAAAAATAAGAATGTGTATAAATAAAGATTTTCAAAGAATTTTCAAATTGAAAATTGCATTCATTGAGATTCAATATGTGATTTAAGTGTTCCCTTCATTTTTTTTTAGCAGTGTGTATGGAACAATTGGCAACCTTAACCACTGGTTGAAATGTCGCTCTAGCTTTGTGCCATTAAACCAGGGTTAACTTGTCTTTGTCTTCTTTTACCTTAGACCTGATGGCACTGAAAGAAGAGAGTCAAGACCTGAATGAAAACAAAGAGAAAAGTCTAAGGGATGAGAAGCATCATGATTTCATAACTGAAGAAAAATCTTTCAGTTGCTCACAGACTAAAACGATTTCCATGCGAAAAAAAGCTCCGAAAACAGGATCTAGAAAGTTCACCTGCTCTCAGTGTGGAAAGAGTTTTACACATCATGGAAACCTTTATGTCCATATGAGGATTCACACTGGAGAAAAGCCTTACACCTGCCAACAGTGTGGGAAAGGTTTCACTCAAAATGAAAGCCTTAAACTCCACATGAGTGTTCACACTGGAGAGAAGCCTTTCACCTGCCAACAATGTGGGAAAGGTTATACTCAAAATGAAAGCCTTAAAGTCCACATGAGAAGTCATACTGGAGAGAAGCCTTTCACCTGCCAACAGTGTGGAAAAAGTTTCATTCGAAAAGCACACCTTAAAGTACATGCAAGCGTTCACACTGAAGAGAAGCCTTACATATGCCCTCAGTGTGGTAAGAGTTTTTCACATAAAGCAGCAATGTATCCCCACATGAGAACTCACACTGGAGAGAAGCCTTACACCTGCCAACAATGTGGACAAAGTTTCACTGAAAAAGGAAACCTTCGAGTTCACATGAGAATTCACACTGGAGAAAAGCCTTTCACATGCCAACAATGTGGACGAAGTTTCACTCAAAAGCACTACCTTACATCCCACATGAGAATTCACACTGGAGAGAGACCTTTCACCTGCCAACAATGTGGAAAAGGTTTCTCTCAAAAGACCCACATTAAATCCCACATGAGTGTTCACACTGGAGAGAGCCCTTTCACCTGCCAACAATGTGGGAAAAGTTTCACTCAAAATGGAAGTCTTAAAGTCCACATAAAAATTCACAATAGAGAGAACGTTTTTACATGCCAACAGTGTGGGAAAATTTTCATTCGAAAATCTTGTCTTAAAAGCCATACGAGAGTTCACACTGAAGAAAAACCTTACATCTGCACTCAATGTGGAAAAAGTTTTAAATATAGTGCAGCAGTTAATCGCCACATGCGAATTCACACTGGAGAGAAGCCTCACACCTGCCAACAGTGTGGAAAGAGTTTCACTGATAAAGGAAGCCTTAAAGTCCACATGAGAATTCACTCTGGAGAGAAGCCTTTCACATGCACCCAGTGTGGAAAAAATTTCTCCCAAAAGGAACACCTTAAATCCCACATGAGAAGTCACACTGGAGAAAAGCCATACACCTGCCCTGCTCCGATGACTGTTTGTGTCATCAGTGTGGAGTGAGTTTCATGGACGGAAAACATCGTATGAATCATGTCACACTGGAGAGAAGCCTTTCATGTGCCATCACTGTAGAAAGACTTGTAGCCTACGGTTTGCTTTGTTTGAACGTTTACACGACAATGATGGAGTCAAAAATGGAAAAGTTTTTCCCTTGCGTTTTTTTAAAAGGCCAAAAACGCTGTATTACATATGCCAGGCCAGTAGTTGGTGCTGTCACCTTGTTAGTAAACAGTACCTGTAGGGAAGTGCCGATTATATGTTTTATATGATGCGTCTCCGCTGTTGGTTGTAATATTGGTGAAGTAAATCCACTTTGCTGAAGAAGTGTTAGCAAACTCTTTAGTAGCAACAACAGTACCATGTACTCCGCCATTGTTTTATATGTTTGTTCGCGCTTGCCTTTAAAATCGACACTTACTGCGCATGTCTACATACCTAACATGTACTACGCACGCGCATGATGTCGCCGTTTTCAAAGATTCCCGTTTTGGGTGTTTACAAGGAAACTATAACGGTGGCATTTTCAAAAACTTGCACTTTGAAACCCGTTTTCAAAAAGATGCGTTTTCAGTCCCCAAAACGCCGCTGTCGTGTAAACGAACAGGCAAAACGCATAAAAAGATTACCGTTTTTGGCTGAAAACGTTGTTGTGTAAACGGCCCCTTAAGGTTCACATGAGAGTTCACAATGTAGAAAAGCCTTTCACCTGCCCTCAGTGTGGAAAGAGTTTTACACTAAAAAGGAAACCTAAAGATTCAAAGAGCTCACACTGGAGAGACAGGTGTCTTCTATGTGAAAAAAAAAAGTTTCAAATGTACTGTCCGTTTATCTACATTGACAAGAATATATATATATATTTAAGTTACGCTTTTGGCTTTTTTTGTGGCTTTATTAGATAGGACTGTAGAGATTTTTTTTTTTTTTGACCGGAAAGCATGGGGTGAAGAGAGGGAAAAGGAATCGGAGAACCTCAAGTCGGAAATCAAACTTGGGTTGCTGGAGGCGCAGTTGCACTATGTTGGTGCTCTAACCACTAGGCTATTGCCGTCAACGTCAAGAGTAATTTGTTTTTAAGTCTTTGATTATATCTGGATTTATGTATTGATTATTAAATAAACTGTGTTCTGATCTTAATGTATTCAATAAAAAACACGTTATTAGTGTAATCAGACTTGTTTTATTATTGTGAGTTACAGTAAAGGGGACTTGTTTACACTGTTAAAGAGTTGGATTCTCATGCTAAACATGGCCAAAGTTTAAAAAAATTAGTTGGATGTATGACAGAGTATTTCTGTGCCAAATACACTCCTTCAGGGTTCGTATAAGTTTTGGAAAGTTTTTAGAGTATGGCCCTGTATGACATCATAAAGGGCAGAATTCCTTGTATGCACACACAGATCAACAAGAGCTAGAGCAGCCCATCAACATGCTTCATTCAGGTTACAGAAGTAACAGGACTTGCTCAAGAAGGATTTGTCATTTTGTTTTTAGACCACAAAATCAACAGTCTCCAAAGAAGTGTGTTTTTGGTTGTGAGGTAAAGATAACATTGTTCAGCTTCCCAAAGAATCTGGCATTAAGGGAACAGTGGATGCAGGCATTTTGGTGACAAATGTTTTATAAACAAATTAAATAAAAGTCAAAGTTTTTGTTCCTGTTTTATTATATTTTTGCTGAAATCCAAAAGCTTTTTGACCCTGCAGAGACAGTAACGGAACTACCATGTTCAAGTCCCAGAAAGGTAGTAAAGACATTGTTAAAATAGTCCATGTGACATCAGTGGTTCAACCTTAATTTTATGAAGCTACGATAATATTTTTTTCACGAGCATGCATCGTGCAAGAATTATCATATGACTTTTTACATACGCCATGTGACCTGAAAATGCGAAAAAGCCGTTTCCAGTGCAGTTTTGCAAATTATTCCTTTTTCGCATTGCCTGAAAAACCACCTCATACGAGCATAAAAACTTTTTAGTGAAGTGACATGTGGCCAAGTATGGTGACCCATACTCGGAATTAGTGCTCTGCATTTAACCCATCCAAAGTGCACACACACAGCAGTGAACACACACACCGTGAACACACACCCGGAGCAGTGGGCAGCCATTTTTTGCTGTGGCGCCCGGGGAGCAGTTGGGGGTTCGGTGCCTTGCTCAAGGGGACCTCAGTCGTGGTATTGAAGGTGGGAGAGAGCGCTGTACATTCACTCCCCCCACCTACAATCCCTGCCGG